TCCATACCCTCACACCAGGCTAGGCTCTACACTACTGGCTGATCAATCTTATTGTGTTGATATTAAAAAAATTCAAACTTTCGATAGAATGTTTCCAGTATAAGTGATTTACAAGTCCATTAAACAAATTTAGCAGGATAAAGGTAATGCATCTTTGAACATGCACTGGTACATTCAAAATCTTGTATCTGAAACTTGTTTGACATGTTGATTTATTCAATTGAATATGACAAAACTACTGATCAATTTGACTTTTGTTTAAGCCGGATAGGGCATAGATATAAAGGTGGGATGTTGTTGTGAATTATATTGGTATTCTATTAAAAGTTTCTAAAAAGCCATATGATTTATCCTGTGTTAGTTGGGTAGTAATAGACTTGATAAAATCCAATTAAAAATTATAAGACATAAACTAACAAAAGGTTAGTTATCTGTGTGGAAAAAAACCCAGCTCAATTTAGTTACCAGTGTAACCAAGAATTACTAGTACATTAATCAGTTATTTCCCATGTATTTTCATGATCCATTATTCATATTTGTCCTCCAAATATAGACACTGACATTACTTATTCATGATGCACCATTGCAATTTAATTGTATATGCATGCTTTATAATTCATGTATGTTACAGGATATTTTATGAACTGTTTTCAAATTTTTGCCTGTTGACTTGTTTGTTATACAATATGTATGTAAAAAACGCATCAATTTTTTTGTTTTGAGAAAATATGCATGAATTGGCAGGTACCGAAATGCTGGTAATATAAAAAATCTGAGGCTTATAACTTGAGGTAATATATCAGAGGTATACAACTGGAGGTATTATTGGAGGTATAAAACTTGAGGTAATAAGTCTGAGGCATGTAACAGTATTAGGCTAACAACCCGATATATTAAATCTAAGGCCTACAATTTTAGATAATAAGATTGCAGTACTTTAAGAATCTGAGAATCAAGAAATTAAGTGTGAGCTTTAGATCTTGCTGTTGTGAATCCATGGCCAGGAAATTACAATGTATTTCAGAAGCTTACACATTGCAGTAATAAATCAGGATCAAATAAACAGAATTCTTTAACAGGAATTATTATCCCTTAAAATGAAATTAAATCTAAAAATTTAGTAGGTCTAAAGATATACATGTATGTTGTCACATAATCATCAGTGGTTTTAACTTACCAACTCAACGTTTAGGTTGGCTTCTTTAAATATGGAATACAATTTCGATTTATAATTGTTTCAAGAAAAGTGAATAATTAATGTTTGTTAAATGTTCTTTTGGTTACAACACTTAAATCCTCAATTTAATAGACCTGAATTGCTTGATGAAGAAAAAAAAGTAAAAATATTGATTTATGAATTGTATAATAATTAGAATTGATTATGTCACATTTGAGTGTTCCCAAGCTTATTACCGCTTTAAGTGCAACAGTAGCCTCTCTATTTCTGGATTGGTTATTTAGTAACTTCTAGATGATTCTTTTCCCTGTAACAAATTTGGCTGTGTTGTCTGAGTGTTGTGGACTTGGTGAAAAGAGCCGTTATCAGTGAGTTGCATAAAGCAGTGAAAAAGTAGAAAGTGGCTTTATCCTGACCTCAAAAGCCAGTGCTCTTAGCTTTTTGAAGGCAAAATTCAGAACAAATAGAATCTTTTAAATTGAAAATCTTGATATAAACTTTTACGAATATGTACTTTTATTTTAAGGAGGTTACTTTAAATTGGGTAAAATGTGCCTATTTATTTCGTCAAAAGTCAGTTGTTTACTTATTTGAAAGCTTAGCATTGCATAATGTTAAAGCAAGTGTTGTAAAATAAGTAATAATATTAAAATCCAAAAGACTTAAGCAGTTTCTGTTCATATGTTAAATGTGAGCTAATTTTTTTCCTGGTTCTTATTTTGAGAATCCATTTTCTTTGCCAGTCCTTAAAACTAAGCACTGTTCTTTCTCCTTAATGGTTAGACAGGGAAAATAAAATACTAGCAATTTAAGTGTACATGTAATAATTAAACTTAAACGTCATGCAATTCAATCCAAAGATATGGTTCATGAACACCATCACAGATTTAAACACCATCACAGATTTACACACCATCACAGATTTACAATTGTTACAGTATTGAAATTAATTTTGTGTGTGTGTTTTTAGGTTTGTTTACCCTCGCCACCGGAAAGAGACCATATGGGCGAGCATATACTTCATTTATAACCTTTTTAAAAAGGGGGAGCTGATGTTTAATTACTTATTGTTATATCCGTACATGTGTTTATGTGCATACCATATCCCCCATGACAGGGTAGTCTCTACGTACAACCTCTGCCATGGGAGGAAGATGGGGCAATCCCATACTAAGATTAAGAATTCTAAAATTAAATTATTAAAAAGCACTTATTTTAAAATTGGCCAAGACGTTTATAGAAGTTACCGTCTTTTATAACAGGTCTATCTAATATTTAGTATAACTAAAAAATTTTAAAATATTACCTATAATTGTAGAGTTCGCATACTTGCGAAGAAGGCATGTCAGGAACGTTTTCTGACCAATTCAATGTGGGCTGTCTATTATTTATGTTGGTTTCTATTTACATGTTATAAACCGTATACATTGGGATGCATATTATTAATTACATGTTTGTAATTAGCAGAGTTTGTTTTAAAATTTTGTAAATTTTGTAAGTTTTACCGAACACCCGCTTTATAAAGTTAATTTTGATTGGTTTAGAGAGGATTGCCTCCTTTGTTCTCATTGGCCGAAAATTCTCTGTTTACAAAATAAGGAGGTCAATCCGGTTTTGTGATAATTTGCAAATTTTCTTAATTTTCGGATTGACCTATATCGACAAGTTTGTCGCGCGAACGTGATAGAGATTTAGCAGGTGCCCGTTGCATCCAATGTATACGTGTTTTTACCAACTTTATTTCAAAATTAAAACAAATATGATAGTTAAAATGTGGTGGAAACGGCCTTATCTATTTATCACTGTCTCATGGTCTATAAATTATTATGCATCTAGATATCACACATAATAATTAATCTTCTATTACTTAAACAATTCATAGAAGAATAAGAAAAAAAAATCTAAGTCCCAAATATGGCTAATAATAATAACTTGGTTACCCATAATGTGATGAGATAGTCTTTATGTAACATATTTAAGAAAATCTCATGCTTGAGTGAACCCGTGATAAACGTATTGCTCCATATGGGGGCACGGGTTCACGTTTACTAGTATTAAGAATACTAGTTTATATATACAGGGATAAAAAAAAAGATAGATAATAAATAACACGGGGCGGGGGGCAAAGGGATATATACAATATGGAGTCTTTTTTGACATTATGGGTAATCTGTAGCCAGCACCTCCCAATTTTGATAATAACCATGAGACTGTATGGTAAAAATAGTCTAGTGCACAGCCTATTTAAGAAATTATTCAATTAAAATTACATAGCAATAAAATTACAAAATAAATAAATAAATAAACTTCGTAATAGCACCGTTTCACGGCCACTTATTAGGGCCACTTTTAAAAATAAACACTTAAAAATAGGTTATGTACACTTTATACAATGGCTGTGCACTGACTCAAAAATTTAAAATATAAAATATTTGTCCAAACTAACATACAGTATACTATATAAAATTAATAATTTTAAGACATTTTAGTAATAAATCATTTTGAGATATTTTAATGGTATGTAACTTTTAAATCTAGCTATAAGATGGGTGGATCAATTAAGATGAATATGTTTTATATGCATAAGGAATATTTACCATCTGCTGTGTATTATCAATAATTTATTTATTTATTTACTTTTTTTGTAAAATTTGCATTTTGTTTATATTTTTGTGCATAAGAAATTTTATTTGACTGTACATTTTATTCATTCGATGTGTATTGTGCATTCTGTTGAAAGTGATGTTCTCAATTTTTGTCGAAATTTTTCTCAGATGATAATATAGGATATTATGATAAAGATACATGTTGTAGATTCTTCATATTTACAAACAATAATTGATGGTTAAGAGAATTGACATATTTTAAGTTTTATTGTATGCCTACATTTTCAGTCAGTAAAATAAAATTATTTTGAGTGACACATTAATTTATAAAGGGAGAGTATCATAAGTTTATTATGTACAAATGTTACGTAGTTATATATTTTGAATTACCTCCATACATTGTGGTGCTCTAATTTCATAAAGGGAGAGTAATGTAGAATAAAACTTTTAGATTATGGAATTGATTATCCCCCCTATATGATCAGAACATGAATAAATTTGGCTTTTATCTCCCTTGTACTCTAATCTATAAGTTATGATGACGCAAAGTATTCTCTTATAAGGAAAAAATAGAACTGATTATTATTTGATAGTACATTGTAATGTAATTTTGATTAAGTATTCTGCTACATATATATTTCTTTTAATTCATTTGTTTTATCCTTCAGACATTCAAGATTTCAGGCTAATGTGTCTAACAAATATCTGTTAAGTCTGAGCAGGCTTTATACTGTTTATACTATGTTGGGTGTTCAATTTTACTGTTTTAAATTTGAAATATCTGAAGATACTAAATATAATAAAACTGAGCATTCCAAATTCCATGGCCGTAATTATGTTATAGGGGACAAGGGCCTGGAGTAGCGGGGTAGCGGAATTTGTGGTGTTTTGGAGAAAATGTGTTAAGTATTCTCTATTTTATTTGGCAAAAGAAAACTTGAACAAGATATGTTAAGTGTCTAGAGCAAATTTTCTTTTTAGGGGAATTGTTTTCAAAAATAGGAGAAATATACATATTAAATGAAGAGGTGAATTAGGCAGAATTTCCACCATAAAAATCATGAAATGAGGGCTCTGAATTCAATGGAGTGGCTCAGCCTAACAATGAAAAATAATATGTTTGATCTTTGTAATTCTGAAAAAGACTTCATTATGTTATGTTTTATTTCAATTTGTTTCCACTGTGTAACAGCTTTATGTTTTCTTTTCATTTTCAGTCTTACATGTAGCAGAAAGGCAAAAATTATAATGCGTGAAAAGTCGCAGTAAAATTTTGAGGAATTAGGATTATATTCTCCACTTCTCCACATGTCAGATTTCGATTACGCTGCATCTGAAAACGAGGCTCTTCTGCTAGACTACAGGCAGATGGAGAGTCCTGCGTCAACGTCATACAACAGTCGAGGAGGGGCCAACGGGAGAGCAGCAGTGAATAGGGTGAGTAGTGACGAGGAGCTTCTAGATACGATGATTGTTGGAGGAAATTTAGAGAGGTCGACGGGATTCTCTAATAAAGAATTAGATGGAAGAATACATGGTATGTGCACTTACTCTGAGAATATTTGTCTGTTTGTTTAGAAGTTTAAGCAGTGTTTTAGTTCAAGTGTTTATTTAACATTTTAATTCTTTTTTTTTTTGCTCAAATAGTGATGTCAGTTTGCTGCACTTTATATTTGATTATGATATTCCTAGGTAAATGTATATGAATGTTGTGTCCCTTAGTGTTTTTGGTGAATTTCTGTTAAGACCAAACAACATGGCTTCCTTTATGTTTCATAATTCATAGATTACAAAATGTTTAACATTGAAAGTCACACTAAATAGGTAAAGAAGGAAAAGCATAAAATTTTTGAGGTCACAAGCCAACATCAAGGAGTAAATGGCTCCCAAACTTCCATTTATGGTAGCAAAGTATCAAATATACTTTTATAATAAAGAAGAACTTGTTAGCTTCCTATATCATTTGTGTAGAATATCTAGTCTCTTTAGTGTGATTAACAGGGGGTATAAACCTATTCTTTATCTGAAAGCAAATGAAAGAGTTAAAACATCAACTTAAGCCTTTGATAGGTATGGTGCAAAAAAGCTTTTAATGTTGAGACAGAGGGAAAAAAAGAGAAAAAAGTATGTTTTTAACAACTTGAAAATGACCAGATTTTGTAGATGAGATGTAGCTGAGTTTTAAGTTTCTATCCTGAATTCAATAAAACTTAATATCAATTGAGACGTTTCATCAACATGGCTTTTATTGTATTCTTATAAATGTAAATTTTAGCAGTATGAGTTTTTGTATTTGATTTGAAGTTTCTGAGCATTGATGAATATGATTGTGCAGCAACAATTTGTCTTCCTGTATTATCAAATTTGATATTTGACAAGAAAATTGTACAGAAATCTTGTTACCAACATTTTACATTTGTTATCCAAAAAATATCTGAAAAATACCAGTGTTTACAAAAGACATTCATTTTTGTAAAATTATCTCAAATTGTGTTATAGTGTTTTTGTTCACTTTTACCTTGACTATTTGAAGTATAGGGAGAGTTATTGCAAGCATTCCTGCATCAGCATCTCCGTCACACTTTGGTTAAGTTATTATGTGCAAGTTTGTATCTCCAAAACTACGGAAGGGAAGAGGTTGAAACTTCACATTATTATTTTAGAGCATTATAGAAGGTCACTGTTTAAGGGCCATAACTCTTACATTGATGCTGACACAAAATCTTAGAAAATTCTACATTATCCAGGCTCTTATTTTGCTATCAAGCACTGAGAATAGTTGAGCACGCTGTCCTACTGAGAACTCTTGTTTTCATGCATTATCTAAGATACATAAAATTATCTCAAACTGTGTTACAGTATTATTAGTCTTTTTCATGTAGAAGCTAAATAAGCATAATTCAACTTGCAAGACTTTTTTCGGTGACATTAATCAGCTGAGCAGATATCTTATAATATCTTCATTATTTATTAAATTGAGCTATTTTTCTCTTCGATAATACTGCCCTACAAGCAGCAGTGGTGAGTTTTCTGTGTCAGCGGTACAAAGCCAGGCCAGTGTGAAACTTTATAACTCTTGACTGTTGCCGGCTGCAATATACTTTTCTGATTTTGAAACCCCCTATAGTAACAATGAACAGGTCCATATACAAAGCTGGGCGCGTAGTCATTTTAAAAATTTAGTAGTGCAAGGATTGTATTGTCATACTACTTAAGTTATACATTTAAAATTCTGTAGTAAATTTTTATTGCTATATAGTATCATATAACAAGTCATACAGAACATTATATAATATACATGTACATATTGATGTACCAGTGTGCATTTACACTCAATTTACATATATTTCCGCTTTCATGTAATTATATCTCATATATTTAATACTTATATTGTAATAATAGATCTTACATAGAAGGAAGTTGGTGCTTTAATTTTCAATTAAAGGAAAATAAAAAATGAAATAATGGTGACAAGTTCACTGATAAGGAATGATAGTAAATTTTTCAAAGGATAGAATATATAAAAAATATATAAAAAATCATTAATTAGTATGGAAAATTGTTTGATAAAGTGATGCATAGAGGATATACTATGATATCAGATAATTGTTTACAGATAAGATTAAAAATATATTGCTAAATAGCATACACATGTTTATATAATTATATATAATGACATTTGTTGAATGGATGCAAAGTTGACTTTTATGATTGTAATATCTTTTCCACTTAAATAACTAAATTAATTTTGAAAAAATCAACAGGAGTAATAGTAATTTTCATGTGTGACATTGAGTTTTGTACACTTAGTCCAACAATTTTTTTTTCTCTTTGTGACGATTTTAAACACTTTGTGCACCATTTTCAAAACTTTAAATATTGTTTCACAAAAACAAAAACATTAAGACTTTAAGATACCTGTGGAGGACTGAGGTGTTTTGTTACAAGTGAGCAGACTTATTTGTTGTTTGAACTGTGGCGATATTTAGACTTTGACATTGCGTGGAATTACATAATCTTGCCTGTGCGTGAGGTATGTCACTCACAAGGATTAAGGGCAGAACTCGTGGATTTTATGTTTTAAATGATTATGGCCAACTCCAGAGTAAGTATATTGACACATATGTTAAAGTGACTTGTCTTTAATGGAAGGGGTGTAATACAATAAACAATTTATTTATTTATTTAACTTAAGGAATTCTCAAATGGTTTCTTATTTGCAAGAGCACTGTCTTATCACATGTGAGTTGTTGTTAAAATTTATCATCACATTTCATCAGATTTTATCTTTAAGAAATTTTGTTTTTCATATGGGAGAAATTTGTACGCTTAAAAATAAAAGTACTTTTAATACTTTCCTCAAATTTTAAATTTTTCAAGTTCTTTTAGGTGAAGTTTTTACCCAGCAATGTTCAAGGAACTAGTATTGTTAGCCCACATATGTGATATTGAAGTGTATAATATGTAAATATTTGCAATCAAGATTGGCTGAGACGACATATTTTGTATTCATGAGCCACAGATGAGGATGTCAAATTGTTTGCATAAACAAATAGTACATTGTCTCTCTAGACAATGTCAAAGAATGGATCATTGTCAATTCTAACAACATTTGCTGATGACTGCAGAAGGAAAGTGCCTTTGAACTTGCTCAACCAATGTAAAATATCTTCAGTGTTCAAATACTTTTTTATCCAGTGCTGTAAAATTTTAGCCTTGTTAAAGTTGGTCAATATTTTTGTTCTTCTGTGTTTCATTAAAAATTGCAAGGCTGTTTCCATATGCTTAAATAAGAAAGGTTAAATTAAACAGGAAGTTATTTATATAGGATTCAGTAAAAACAGAAGGTTTTAATGTGTTGTAATTGGTAGACTGTAAATATGTATTGTTTCTCTTATAAACTTTTGTTGGTTTAGAATTTTGAAAAATATTGGAGGTTTTGTTTTTGTGGCTGAATCATTGCCTCACCAAAGATCAAATAGAAAAATTAAGCATATTGCCATTGAAGAGAGATGAGAAAAGAAGAACTAAGCCTGTCATTTACATATATATAGGAACAGGTCTTTTGTCATTGACAGAATGAGGCAGTTGTCACGGTGACGGATATTTAATTGATCTTCTCCAAATGCTGTATAAGGGATGGTATAATGTTTGTCAGAAATGTCAGTGTGTTATCTAAGTCACTGCAGCTCACTTTATGCATCGGGCTTCCACAGGCTTAACATTTTATGGTACAGTTAGGGTAAAATTATCATTTAATGGTATGGTTAGGGTAAAATTAACATTTTATAGTACAGTTAGGGTAAAATTATCATTTAATGGTATGGTTGGGGTAAAATTAACATTTTATGGTATGGTTAAGGGAAACTGATTATTTTATGGTAAAAACAAGTGCTGAATTAGGGAGAATGTTTTGCATAATTATTCATGCTGTATGTGGGTGGTAGGATATATTCTAAGACAAAGGTTATTAGTTCAGTTATTTTAGGAGCACAATCTAAGTTAATTTGTACTAGCCACTGCTTCAGATGTGAAGGTCACTGTCCTGTTACTATAGCATTTAAAACATTGAATCCTAATAAAATTTTTGAGGATTTTGAATTTTTATGTTTGGAAAAAGGTCTTTGCCAATGCATATATCTGTCACACCATTTGGTCAGTTATAGTATTTTAGCTTATTCTGAAGGATAAAGCCCCAATTATACAAAGATACTTATTGTGTAAGCATGTGTAACATTGTCTACTGAGCATATACAAAACTTCAATAGACTAAGACCCCATGGTCAAAAATGGTGCCATCTTTTGGAATTTTTTTATCACTATTTTATTTATTTAGGTGGGCAATGTAGGTCCATCAGGACTTCTTGTTTTATCCTAAAATCTCAAAACTGTAAATAGACAGTTTCAGATATTCTAAACTGGACAAGTTCATTACATATAACCAGCAGGGTTCTTGGTTAAATTGAGACTATATAAGAACCTGATGCTTTTTCCATTAGTTGTTTTGCATATTTCCATTAAGAGATCGGATTGAGGGAATAAAATTGGCTAATATTGTTATCAAAGGCTGGATTTATGTAACAGTAATGTATTTACTTACTCTGATGAAAGTATTGTTGATCATTTTTTTGTCATCGCCACTTATTCTATGTGCTTGAGAAAAGTCATAGACCCTTGGTTAATGTGATGAAGTCACAACATTTTTATATGACATTTGATTGAGGAATATAATTTTGTTAAGTTTTAAAATTACAGTCAACATGACCACTAGCTATGGTTTAAGTGATTCTAGGGGACAAGTTGACCTTTGAAGTACTTTGCAAGTTAAAATGTTCTAGAAAAAGGGATAGATAATTATACTCCTTTAGTTTTGCCTATCTGTTCATATCACTCAAATATTTTTTGATTCACAGCCTTCATTTTTGTATAATGACTAATCTTTTAATGTAGTTTTCCACTCTAAACTGCTATTTACCGTTAGCTTAAAGGATCTTTGATTAATTGCAGTTATTTGGTACAAGACCTTTATTGTTTATT